GAATTTAAAAGTCCATAAAATTCGAGCAATTATTTCAATTATTTTATGGATTATTTTAAGATTTTACACGAAAAATTATTAAAAAAATCTAATAATTCTAACTTTAAAAGTTCCATAAATAAATATTTTATAATAGGTTTAAGCAAACTGTGATTGGCCTCGGTGTAGTGATTGGCCATATTGTCTTTAAAACCAAATATTGAATAAATTCGTCTGCTTTCACTTAATTTTACCATTATCAAATATACCTGCTCCAACTAGTTATTCAGAATACCTAACTTTTTGGAACACTTGCCAACGTGAAGTTAAAATTGGCACTAATGTTCCCAGACGGTATACATACTTCGTTAAGAATAAGTGAAATTCTAGTAATTTGGTTAAGAGTGACACAAGTAAGCTAATATCTTTGGTATTTATTAATAATTATGTTGTGAATATGTTCTGGTGATTTTATAATATATTTAGTGTTAATGTTAAAAATGTTTCTTTAATATAACCTTAAAAATCCTATAATGAAATAGGACTAATAAATTTAATTTTAAAGCCTCTAAACAGTGATTGACCGGGGGCCAATAATAATACAATAATTGAAGAGAGGCGATCCATTTTTTGTCTGGTTTCATGGGGTATGTAGCAAGGTTGTTAGCCTGTATAACGGGTCAAGTGACAAGTGCCTTGAATAGCTGTTTCAGTGTTCTAGAAGGCGCGCGCGCCAAGGGCGGCGATGGTGTTCCGATATTGGGTCCTATGATTGAACGTTTATGTTATCCATAACGTACATGTTAGGTCGAATTTTAACAGTAATGAAGCAAGTTTGTATGATAGAAAACTGTTAAATTAGAACATAACAGGCGGAAAATAACAGTAATGTGTTGAAAACCGTTTTTCATCATACGAACTTGCCTAATTACTGTTAAAACTGAGCCTAACATGTACGTTACGGATAACGTAAACGTTCAATCATAGGACCCATAGTGAGCTATGTGTGTGCACTGTATACACTCACTGTATTGCGTCTCGAACGTTTCATTTTTGTTTTGGCGGTTATAATCACATGCTGATTGTATTGTATGTTATGTGTTCCCAATTGGGTAATTACCTATTGTACTTAATACAGTTCAAGAAGAATAACAAAAATCCAAATAAAAGGCAAAAAGGTAAAGGCTCTTGGCAAAGTGAACGAAAAAAGCTGCGAACTGCAGCAGAAAAGGCCTACACAACAAAACAAAACAAAACAAACAAGTAGAGGCTAAAAAGCCTTCGCCTGAGAATGTAAGCTGTATTATAGTTTTCTATTTTAATGATGCATATATCCTTTACCTCGTTTTAATAATAACATAACTTTAAGTGAGACTCAAACCTCTCGTAATTATGATAAGGTTATGTAGATCTTGGGTTATGTTAAAAACGATATTGTTGTACCTATTACCTACTAGGTTAGGTTAGATATAGATATAGAGAGCTGATTACAAACATTTTTTTATTTTCTCTGAAAGTGTAACTATAGCTGCAAAAAGTTTGAGTATGAAGAGAAGTTGAAGATTTTGTCTGATTTTTACAAAATAGCAGATTTAAAATTACAAAATACTTACTTCATGGGACTCACGAATCTTTATCCTATTAACCCTTGCCGTAAAAATGTAGATGCAAACTCAAGTCGTAAGCAAACGTCTGTAGCATTCAGTGTTCCAAATGGAGGTGAAAGGTTTGTAAGAGTGTGTAAAAAGATTTTTCAAGAACTGGTTGGCATTAATAAAAGACGCATTAAAACAATTGTTGCATATTTGAAGGCGGGCGAAGTGAGTTCCACTAAAAAAAAAAAAAAAACAAATGTGAATGTGAATTGCTTTCCCACAGAAGAAAGTCACTATTCAAGGGCTAAGACTAATAAAGAATACTTAAGTAGGAATTTAAACAATAGCAGCTTACATCGGTCTTTTAATGAAAAACATCCAGAAAATAAAGTAGGGCAAAAATATTTTTGTAAGATATTTAAACCCAAATTCCCGAACCTCTCTTTTCGCAACCCTCACAGTGACACATGCAATACTTGTGATCTGCTTCATGCCTCGATGAAGAGTATTCCAACAGACTTAAATGTGAAATGTCGCTTAGAGCTACACCATCGTAAAGCTGAGAAGGCAAGAAAAGAGATGGACAACGATCACAAAAAGTGACAAATACCCAGTAGTGATGTTTGTACGGTTAGTATGGACCTTCAACAAGTTTTTAGTCTTCCTGCTCTAACACACAGTAAGATGTACTACTCAAGGCAACTAAGTATTTACAACTTTGGTATGTACATCGGAGACAACAATGGCGTTTTCACTTTTATGTGGCATGAAGGACAAACAGGCAGGGAAATGAAATTGCATCTGCCGTATTGAAAGCAGTACGTTGCTGCAAAATAACACCAAAACGTAAATTGATAGTATGGAGTGATAATTGCACTGCATAAAATAAAAACAGGATGTTTCTGTACTTATGGTTTTATCTGATCGCATAAGGGTTCATTGACGAAATCGAACAAAAATACCTCGTTTCAGGTCACTCGTTCTTGAGTTGTGATCGTGATTTCGCACAAATAGAGAAAAAGAAGAGGTAGTCGCATTGCGAGGTACCTTAAGATTTAATCAAATTGATTTTTTCTGCACGGCTTACCCATCCCTATGTAGCAACATTATTGCAGAATGATTTTTGTGATTTTAATGAGGCATCTGCAAAAACTCTCAATTCGCAACGTGTACAAATCTCTCAACTTAATTGCATTAGGATATTAAAGAACAAACCTGGAAAAGTGCTGACTCAAAAAACTTTCAGTGATTTGGAGGAATGGCAAGAAGTAAAAGTTTTTAGGAAGAGCATTACTATGGAAAATAATGCATCTTCCTTAATACCGTTGGAATGTAGAAATAGGTTGTTACTTATCTGTAACATGTTTGTGAGATGTATAAAATAATTGCTTATATTATTTTTACTGCTTTAGAAAAGGTTTTTAAATTATTAAATTGTCTGATGTTTTCCGTTAAAGTGTTGTATATTTTTGGCCTATTACAAAAATGAATCTCTTATTTCCACCATATTTGTAAAAAGATACGTTTAGCATTATTTTCTTTTGTGTTCTAGTCAAATATGGGTTGTTTACAAAACTTTTATTTTTCATTTTAAAGTAGAACACACAGCTTGAGTGAAATTATAATGCTCTTCATTCAGATTTGTCTCATTATATAAGAGGGTTGTTGAAAACAACCGATTTTTATGGTTTATTATTTTTAAGATACAGTTCTAAATTATATTTAGAGGATGTAGTGCATTGTCATATAACCCACTCCATACAATTATGCCATATCTAATTAAGAATTCAATTAGAGAGGTATTTATTAAGTGTAATTACTTTTTGTTTAAAATATTCCGAATCAAATAGAATTTATGCATAAATCTTCTAATTTTGTTTGTTAAGTATTGTACGTGACAAGTCCATTTTAAATTTTTATCTGCTTTATATTTTCTACTACCTTGAAAATGAATTTGGATTCCTCAATACAAAATCTGTTTAAAATTTGGCCTATTTGCATCAGTTGCTATGTATACAGTTTTCGATAGATTCAAAGACAACTTATTATAATCCAGCCACGATTTTATAATTTTTGTCCCATTTTCCACTTTTAATTTTATAGCCTACCAAGTTTTATCTTTAAATATTAACACGGTATCACCTGAATAGGATATTGAGACATATCTAAATTTAAAAGACGGTTTATATAAATGATAAAATCAGTGGGAACAAGGATTGTTCCTTATGACACACCTATTTAAATGTTAATCGGAAAACTAAGCTCATTTCTTATTTTGACTATCTCTGTCCTTTCGTAAAGGTAGTTTTCATAAACCTTTATAACATATCCTCGTATGCCTTAATGTTCAAGATTATTCAATAGCTGATTGTAAGAAACAGTGTCAAACGCCTTCGCTAAGTCAATAAAAACACTTACAATTTTATTTTCATTATTAAGATTGTTTTTAATGTTGGATATTAATTCATACATAGTGCTAATACCTTTTTGGAAGCCATACTGTTTAACATTTAAGATCTTTTTATCAAATAAATAGTCACACAATTTATTTTTTAGAAATTTTTCAAATAGTTCTGTTCGAAAATATAATATATCAAGGGCCACTTTGCAATTTAGAAAAAGCGATAAATTCATTTAAAGCTTTTTCAGATCAAATCCAGTACGGACAACTGCAGAAGAAAAATTAATATGTGATTGGATTCTCGAGAACAAAAAAAATTTCCTCGACGAAAAAAAGACCTACAATTGTCTGCTAAGGCCATCTTAGAAAAGTTTCCAAGGGAAAATATATTTGGGGATAATTTACGAAATGATGGGTGTTACAAAGCCTTCCTGCGGCTACATCCAATATTTATAGATCGTACCCCAAACCCTGTTACCTCAGTAAGCTTTAATGTCTTAGAAAAAAATTATAAAAATTGATTTATTCATATACACTTAGATGCAAAAAAACGCAACGCAAAAAATTTGGGTCTAATTGAAAGTTTAATAATTTTTTCATTTTAATCTTATTTCGATAAACTTTTAGCACATTGTATTAAACTTTATCAATTTCAATATTTTTATAAAAATATAATATTTGAGCTATCATACAGGGATAATCGAACGGCTGCTTTTTACCCTGAGGGATAATGTCGCTAGCGATTTTCCTTCAAACATTTTTCTTTTACAACTATGTCTTTTCGACATTCAAGTTTTTGGTTTATGTTTTGGTTCATTTTAGGGACCGTAATAAATTTGCTTCGAAAATTTGCGAATTTTTTTACTAAAATAAGGGGGTAATCAAACGTCAAAATATAATTTTAAATCTTTATGGATCTTTATTTTGTCCTTATGTTGGTTGGCTATTTTGCTAAACTGGGGTCTTATTTGAGAGTTTAGGGGGTGATCAAACGGCGATACATAATTTTAAACATTTTTGGATCCCATTGTGCCTTTCTAATTATTCTTGATCATACTTTCAAAGTTAAAATTCATCCAAGAACTCTTGCTATTCTATAATTTGCCCCTTTTAATTATTTTAAGGAATGTTAAAAAAGTCTAAGGGGTGATCAATAATTGGTTAATCTGATAGTACAGTCAGTTATAAAAAATATTAATTTCCGGGGGCCAGCGGGCACTCGGCCATTAATATTTTTTTGAATATTTAGGTTTCTGTGGGTTTTCAAAAAAAGTTATTGGGTGGTCAAACATGGTCAATAGGTGGTCAAACGTATGTTGCTTCTAAAATTAAAATTTTTGAATTTCGGGGGCAAACTCCACAGAGCTAAAATTCAGTCCCTGTGTTAGGTTAAATTCTAAATGATCCATCAAATTCAACACGTTCGGAAGCAGCAGAAAGTGGAATTTCCCGCAGTTCTGTAAGAAGAATATTAAAGAGATACACTTTGAAAAACTTTAAATACCAACTGTACCAAAAATTGTATGAAGGTGACGCCTATCAAAGATTACATTTTTGCAAATTTATGTTAGTAAACGGTTAAGAAATTAACTTTTACAAAAATATAATTTGAACAGATGAATCAAAAATAACGGCTGAATGTCTATTCAATAGATATATTAAATGATATTATTCGTTTCAAAATAAACAAAGACTTCGTTATAAAAATGTGCAAGGAAGGTGGAGTTTCAATTAGTGGTACGGTATCTTGGACAACATAATTATTTGTTGTTGCATTTACTATGGTAATCTCACCCGAAGAAGGTATGTAAACGAGATTCTTAATAGAGTTGTAAGCCCACTACCAGCGCCAAGAAGAAACTTAATTTAGTTCCAGAAGGACGGGGCAGGCCCTCATAATATAGCTATTGCTTATAGAAAATTAACTATATTGTTTGATGACAATGGTTGACCACAAGAGGCTCATTTTTATGGCCTGCTAGAAGCCCAGATCTAACGCTTTTGGACTAATTTTATGGGGATATTTCAAAATTAAATTGTATAAAAATAACTAAGTATTAAGTATAGAAGTTGCTGAACAGAGATTTGTAAATCAATGTGCGGCAGTACTTCCAGCTATGCTGCGGAAAGCGACACAAAAAGAATTTAAAAAACGTTTGGAATTATTTCTATATAAAGAGACGTCTTTTTAAAAATTATATATAACAATTTAATAATTTATTATTGTTGTTATGTTTTATAATAGTTTATGGTAAAATACTATTTTATTCTCGTTATATTGTTCCCCTTGTCATGTTTTTTTAATAAATAAATTATCAGTTTATTAACCTTATTAAATTTTTTTTAATAACAAATTTTAAATACAAGATTCTTATTAATAAAATGAAAACAGGTATTTGTATTTAAAAATTAAAAATGTATTTCAATTTACTATTATTTTCGAAGAAACGGAAGCAAGCCATGAGGCCACAGACTAATTAAATCAGTCATAAGAAATTTTTTGTTCCCAGCTCTCTAGCAAAACAAACATAAATTCAATATCTGAAAAAATAACTAATATTAAAGGGAGTGAAATTTTTAAAAGGTTTATTTAAATGCTTAGATACCCCACTGGTGTAATTTGGGTGAGTCGCAATGCGCTAGTTCAGTGATGATGTAATTATGGTTCCACTGACAATTAAAGTGATAGTAGATTTTTTGAGTGCGTTTTGTTCGTTTTGCTTACCTAAATTATATCGTTTTTTCACTTTTATAAATATATTCCTAAAGTAAGTAGAAAGCATGTATCAAATATACAATCGTTTAGTTACCAACTACATACCTTTAAACTATTTTTTATGACCTGTAAACAATATTTTGAAATACAATAAAAACAGTAAAAACGTATATGTCAAATTTATTGATGTTTTTGTTAAAAGTTTGGTTAGAATTAAATGTCAGTGGAACCAAAATGACATCACACTGAACTAGCGCATAGAAACACGGCTTACAAAGGTAATACATTCTATACATACCTTCTTCCTTCAACGAGTTATTAGTAAGCTGAGATAATATTAAAAAAAAAGATTTCTATCCAAAAATGTTTAATAAATTACAATTTTAAATAAATATGGGGGGTTTTCATTTAAAAATAAATAAATTGTAATTTACAGTTTCTACCGAAAAAATCGGAACTAAGCCATAACGTCACATGATAACAACAAAGTTCTTGTTGTAAGCTTAAAAAAAAACAAATAATCAATTCGATATCTTAAATAATGACTTAAGATAAGAGCGGTTGGAATTTTTAGGAGGTTTACCAATATTAAAAATGTTTAGATGAGCCACTGATGTATTTTGGCAAAGAATTTTTAAAGGTAATTCATTTCAATATATTTTTCTTTAAAACGAGTTATTAGTAAAATATTTAATAATAGTATTGTCTCATATGACAGACATTTTGACAGCTGACTAAATATTTTCAATAATCGGTTCTTATACAAAAATGTTTAATAAATCAGAATTTTTAATAAAAATTTGGGGTTTTCATTTAAAAATAAAAAAATAATTTTGATTTACTTTCTGAAAAACTGGAAGTATGCCATGACGTCACAGAATAATTGAGAATGCTTTAATGAAGTTTTCTCTCCAAACTTTAAAACAACAAAAAATATTATTAAATAAGATAGGTGCAACATTTAAGAGGCCCACCCTGTACGTACATAAAATTTTTCATAATAAAAAATTAATTGAAATAAAAAATTTTATATTTTAGTTGTCAAAAAGTACAAAAACCCCATTAATAACATGCACTTGCTTTCTGTAAAGGCGTTGTTCCATAAAAGTAGCCTTGTAGTATCATCTAAACACCGTAACAATTATAAAAATCTGTAGTAAAATATACTCTCATAAATAATTTTTCATTTAAGACCAAACATGGAAAATCCTATGAAAATCTCGATGAAGAAAAAGTCCGTTTCCAAATTTTCCAAGACAACGTACAAAAAATCAACGCACACAATGCCCGCTATGAAGCCGGACTTGAAACCTACACCATGGCTGTCAACAAATTCGCTGATTTAACCCCCAAAGAGTTTGGAAATATGCTCAGACGCCAAAACGGTCCATTTACCAGAAAGCATTTAGCTCGCCATGTCCAAAACCTTACTGCTCCAGACTCCATCGACTGGAGAACGAAGAACGCTGTTTTAGAAGTCAAGGACCAAGGAAAATGCGGATCCTGCTGGGCTTTCAGTGCCGTAAGTTAAAATTTTATGCACATCCACTAGTTCTATAAATTTCCACTAGTTTATTGTTTGATTTTATTCCAGACTGGCAGCATAGAAGGACAAAATGCTATTAAAAACAACCAAAGAGTATCTCTCAGTGAACAACAATTGATTGATTGTGCTACCGAGTGGAGCAACGGTTGCCAAGGTGGTTATACGGTATATGCTTTTCAATACGTCGGCAAGAACGGTCTTGCCAGCGCAGCTGAATACCCATACGAAGCTAAAAACAATATCTGCAAAGAAAAGAGTGGTTCCGTCGTTAAAGTTAAAGAAGCCGTGGCTGTTGATCCTAACGAATCTGCCCTTAAAGAGGCTGTTGGTAAGTACAAATTAGCGCTTATACTTCATATTTGGTATATTAATATTCTTATCTTGGTGATTCTCCTTTTATTTCCTGTAGTTCTTGGGTTTTTAGGTGCTAGTGGGAAATGAAACTCGTGTATGTGTGGGTAAAGCTTTTGGCACTGATCAGTGCCTTCTTCAGTAATTTTTTTTTAATATTGGTAAAATATTTTTTTTGGCATTAAAGCCTTGTTTTTTGTACAAAGTTTGGGGTATGTCGTTAAAATAAGTTTAAAATCTTTTTTGTATACATATTATATTGTATTTATTTCATTTATACTTGTCATGTCCATTGATATGGTCAGAGATAAGGGACATAAAGATTGGAAACGCAACGACCGCAGCAACGATGGCGTCATCTAGCGTCTCAGATGTTAACTACAGGTCTACGTCGTTTGTAGAGAGACCACTGTTGCCAAATATTTTTTTTGAGAGATCGTATAAGTAGAGTAGAAAAATGGTATTTCGACAAGAAAATTGTACAATAGATACATGCATAGCATATTAAAACTTAAAATAGAATAAAAAAAGCTTTGTTATGATAATTTCTTAATCTATTTATAAAAATGTTTACAACGAAAAAAAAACTAAAGAAAATACATGAAACTTTAAATTAACACATTTAAAGTAATCTATGACTGTCACTTGAAAGTGATTGAAATTTTGCATACCAGCTTTTCTTGGCTTTTCTTATGCCGTGATAGTCGGTGTACAAAATCAGCGTGGTCAAAATCACGATAAGTCAGAACGAAAATGACTGCTTTCATAAATTAAGAACGGCCTATGAAGTTATTGCAGATATTTAAATAAATCTACTAAAAAAGTGAAGATCCTATTTTTACGTACGATCTCACTGATACAATCGTACATCGTACAGAAAGTTAAAAAATCGTATAAATACGATTTAAATCGTACGGTTGGCAACACTGAGACAGATAGTAGACGTGGACAGCAGTGGACAGTTTGTAAATATAAATGTCAGTTTTATGTATATCGAAGAATCCTGAATTTAAATTTAAAATTTTGAGTTCATGATTGTGTTATCCTCTAGATGAACTAAGCGAAATAGTTGTGGCTGTTTTTGTGTGAAATTTAAGGAGAATAATTATATTTTGTATTATTACAATAAGTCGGAGAACGTATTGCATTAGTAACACATGCCACATGAACAAATCTAACAACCCCAATGTGGCGTTCTTTAATTAACCAAAATAGGTAAGATCTATTCATGTAAGTAACACAAATAGTAATCAACTTTTGTCACAAAGTAGGTGTTTATGTATTATTTATTGTTTTAGAACAAGAAAATGGCTTCAAAACGTTAGAAAGAAGATTTGATATAGGAAAAAAAATATCTGAATTCCCATTACTGAATTTGTACTCAACATTTTTAAATGATATACCAAAATAAAAACAAAAATGCAGTGTTACAAATAACAATCAAAAATTAAAAAATATTTGTTATGAATATAGATTTACAATAATCGATAATAGACTGTAAGTGTAGTATTCTTTTTAATAAATAATTTAGCGTAAATACATTGTTTAAGTTTATTTACAAGAACATGAGCGTGCAGTCGATATTTATGTAATCTTTATTATCAGGTTTTTAAATTTGCCGCTGCGTTGTTTGATATCGATGAAAGCGCCACATAGTGGGTCAGATGTTAACTGCGATAAAGCTGGTCGTTGTTAAGCATTGGCTCCTAATGGGCGTTTCCTATCTTTATCTCCCTTATCTCTGGATATGGTGTTATTAATGTCCGTTTGTGTGTGGACACACTTAATTATTAATGCTTTAAAAAATATAATACGGTTAACAAAAAGTGGTGGTATTTTACCAAGGAGGAAAATATTAACATGTATGCTCCAACTATACCAGAAATAATTACATTTCTAGACATTTTTTTCAGAAAGGCAATTAGTTTCAATACACTGAATACTTTTCGCTTAGGTGTTAATATAATTATTAGTAATAAAGTTAACGTTTCCAAGATTATCAAACTACGTGGTATCCTAATCTAATATTGAATTTTCTCACTACCGTATATACCCTAGACTCTCTTAATTTAACAAACCTGACCTATAAATTGACAATGTTACTTGCCTTATGTACAGCGCACAGAATTCAAACTATTACTAAAATAAAAAAAATTAATATTTCTAAGAGAATATATTTAAATTTTAATTCCAGAAATATTGTAAACTTCTACTCGTAATCCCAGTAAATAACAACCCATACTAATTAAAAAAGCAAGAATTGTGTCTATCCTCTACAATAATTAAATATTTAAAAAGAACTGAATGTTAAACAGTTGTTAATAACCCTAAAAAGAACTTGTCATCCAACTTAATCTCAAAAAATCTCTAGATGGATAAGGCACGTTTTTAAAAAAGCAGACATTGATACAAAAAGTTTTATCGCGTGTAATTCAAGACATGCGGCAGTATCTGCAGCCTACAAATCAGGCGCTAGCATTGAGGCAATAAGAACTGCCCCTGAATGGTCTGAAGGGTCACAAACATTTTATAGATTCTATAACAGACCCTTAAATAATTTTGAAAAATATATATTTATTTTAATTTCGATTGTCTCTTTTATAATTATTAATTATAGCGTTTATAGCTACTATATTATAATTTTAAGTTAAGCATCTTTATGATCATATTATTACATGTATACCTAGATAATATTAATAATATTAAAAAAAGCGTAAATTTATAAATTAATATTATTTTTAAAATATCTTTAATACACTGCTACATAAAAGATCTATTGTACCCCCTTCTGTCGCTAATGCAGCAAGGAAATGTCTCTATGCCTATAACGACCCTTCCAATCCTATCTTCTCAAGGAACTATAGGATTTGGAGTGGCTTTAAGTTAGGTAAATCTCCGTCTTCTATTTGATATGCTCCTAGCTCCTCTTCCTCACAGAATTTGTACTCACTATTTTCTACTACTCTCAGTTTACTAAGAGAGAGAGAGAGAGAGAGACAGAGATCATTGCGAAAATAGTCAAAAATCTGTATATATATAGTGTAAAAATAAGCATCACACATGGTTTCCCTTTTGCGATATTTTTTTGCTCCTATTCTAATGGATGGATTAGGTACTTTGTTATGAAATTCAGGTAAAAGATCATATTTTATAAATTTTATTTGATAAATTAACGTGTAGGTATAGTACGAGTAAGAGATATAGTGTAACTTTAAAGCTTTAAAGCCAGCCGGCAACATACAAAAAAAACTAAGGAGACTGATACATCACCTTTAAATTAGTAGAGGAGCTTTCAAGAGATTAAGAATACTTATTTTATTTTTACTTCTCTCGATAAAAGGGAAGTATTGTAATCGTGAAAATTTAGATATTCACGTTTTCGGATCCCTAGATTACGAAAAACATATTTTCCGTATTCCGTCGGTCTGTTGTCTGCCGCCTGTCTGTTGGCTCAAAAACGGCTTAAGAGAAAAACTTCAAATTTTGTATGCAGGTAAGGCTTCCTCTTGACTCAAAACCAGTTATACTTCCAGTCAGATATAGGTATATACAAAGTAAGCAATTAAAAAATCATTTATTTATAAGTCTGCACATTTCGACCAAAATTGGTTTCTGATAAAATTGTTATCTGATCAAAGATAACAAACAGATCATGAATTACTTTTTAAAAGTTTAAAATGGCTTCCTTGTTTTTACAATTGATACAGGGTGTTTTTTAATGGTATGCTAATATTGTAGGGTGTGAGTCCTCAGATCATTTTATAAAGAAAAGTTCTTATGATAAACATATGTATGCAACGGCTTCAATTTTTTGTTACAGGGAGATGAAAATTTGTTTTAAAAGAGATATTTTTTAATATTTTTGAAAATAGATTGAATATAATTTTCAATTTTGGCATGTTTTAATAGGATATAAAACCACATATTATAATTAGTAAATTTATTTTATTGCTCTACCAGTGGCATCAAACATGTCATTTTACCATATTGATATTTTTATTTATTAGACTGGTTAATTTTACATCAATTAAAATTAATTGTCAATACTGCAAAATGAAGATATTTTAATTTAATTGATGAACGATAAGGTAAACGCCACTAAAGTATGTGGTTTTATATTCTAATAAAAATACAAAAATAACGGAAAAATCTCAATACAGTATGGTTATGGTATTCAGCAATACTATCTATAGCGTATACTTTTCTAAATTGTTTCGTCCTTTAAACTTTAAGAAGTTCTTCTTCCTCACAGCTGTCTTGAAAATACAAATCATTGTCCATTAAAAAAGTTTGTATATCCGCTTTCATCATCGTTGTTGAATGTACTCCTAAAGAATCTGCGGCTTGACTAACTCTTTGGCAGATTCTTACTCAACGCAGTGCAGGTGGCTGGAAATACAACCGACAGGAGCGGACTAGGTTTGTGAATTACCTTTTAGAAAATTAACTTAGTTTGTTGTACATTTTTTTTTTTTTATTTTTAAAATGTGAGATAAAGACGAGGTGGTGAAAAAACCGTACAACCAAGCACACCCGAAGCTAGCCAATTTTTTTTTTGTATTTACGCCTTATGTTTGGAATTATTTCAAAAGAAAAGCTAGTGTTACACGTATCTAAATATTACGTTGAATATTATAAATCAAAACAAGATGTTGATGTTGCTTGAACAGCATTTTCTCGAGTTGTTTGAATCCTCTTATTGAGTGATATCAATAAAAATCTGATGTGTCCAACACATAACTTTCCTATTTAGTTATTACAGGCATTTTCCAGTTATTTTGTACAACCTATATTGCAGTACCTCTGTAAATGTTTAAACGATAAACTAAATATATACATTTTCCACATACTTCTAATTCGAAACATTTTTTATATATATTCATTGGCAACGAAAATACTGAAAAATTAAAATTTTCACTTTTCATCCTTTTTCATTACGATCCATTTTAGAGAAACAATGTATAAAACAAAACATAGATTTCGATATTGCAAACAACTTTTAGTTTAACAATTTTCTTAAAAATCAGAATGTTGCACATTTTGTCAAATTTATTCACAAATCTAGTCCGCTCCTGCCGGTTGTATTTCCA